AGGGTAAAACAAAGAAATTACCAAGCATCCTGTCAGAAAAAATTAGTTTAACCCCATACAAGGAGAAGATTCTTTGCAATATTAAATGCCAGAAGACAATGAAGCAGTATCTGTTACCTTTAGGGGAAAATATTTGTGACCCAGAAATTCTAAACGTAGCCAAGATGTCATTCATTAGTGAAAGCAACAGGAAGATGTTCTCAGATATATAACTTCTCACAAATATGCAATCCACATATTTTTCCTGAGAAAGTTGCTTGAAGATGTACTCCAGCCAATTTTAAAATAAATTAAACAGTTTAACCATGGAGAAGTTATGAAATAAAAGAAGCGCTGGCCAGTTTGGCTCAGCGGTTAGAGCGTCAGCCTGCGGTCCAGAGAGGCCCGGGTTCGGTTCCCACTAGGGGCATGTACCTCGGTTGTGGTTTGTCCCTGGCCCTGGTTGGGGTTGTGTGGTTGGCAACTACTCAGTGTTTCTCTCTCACATCAATGTTTCTCTCTGTCTCCCCCCTCCTCCCTCCCACTCTATCTGAAGATAAAATGCAAAAATGTCCTCGGGTAAGGATAAAAAAAAAGGATTAGTAGTGAACAATGGAACTAAACTTGTAGGTAACTGTAAAATAAACTTTATTTAAAGTTCAAAACGGAATATAGACACTATAAATGTTTATTGGAATATAAAAGAATAATAATAATAAAATGAATCCCAAATGCAAAATAGGGGTATACAAAGAAGTATATTACTTTTCTCTATTTAGGTATGTTTTAATATGTATTACCTTTTAGAATTAATACTTGAACTGACAATTTTTTAAAAAATTAAAAACAACAAATAAGAAAAAAAAGTTTATCTTTATACCATCTTTTTCTAGGACCTATAAATGTTCTTTCTTTAACTCTGCTTAATAAACATATACACTTTGTATTTTTAAATATATATATATATATATATTTTAAATGACTGTAAGTAAAACTATACCAGAACACGAACATTTGATATAGATTGGTGGTGGGGTTTTGTGGTATGTTAATCTTCAGTAAGTATGGGTGTGAAAGCATATGCATATTTAAAAAGTACATATATTTTGGTATAGTTATATAATGTCAATTACATTAGGAAAGATATTAACAAAATAATGGGTTCTAGATAGTAGAAATACTCTGCTCTTCTTTCTGTTTCTATTTCTGTATCTTTGTAATGCATATGCATTATTTTTACAGTGGGAAAATAAACGTCCTTAAAATAAAAATTCCTATAGATACAGCAGAATTATAATTACAGGCAAATTTATGACATTAAATGGTTTGTTCTTCTCCCCTCCCAATGAAAAATAAACTAAGCATTTAATTTAAGCCATTAGAAAAAGACAAAAAAATCAGACATCTGAAAACTGAAGGAAAGATTCATAAACTTAAAGGGAAAATTTTATAAACCAGTAAACAAAGTAGATTTGAACGAAAAGTCTAAGGGTTGATTCTTTATAACAAACAGAATTAAATTTCTAGCTTGTTTGCTCAGGAAAGCAAACAAAAATACACAAAATGATGTATTTAAATCACAAATTTAAAGACAGTAAAATGTACAGCTTATGCTAATTATGAAGTGAAGTAAACATTATAGTATATATTGATTACCAAAATGACTCAAAAACAGTGCTGGAATTGGCCAACAATATTAGAGAAACTGCCAAAGAGCTACTCCTATTGTTAAAGTGATTGTCTCTAAGTAGTAAGATTATGGATTATTTTTTCCCATTTTGTGCTCTTTAGTAGTCTCAAAAAAACCTATAATAAAGTAGGTACTAATTTTGAAGTCAGATATGAATAAAGACCAACTTAAAAAAATAGAATCCTCCATCTCCCATCTCCCAAGACAAATTGGATAGTTTTTTCCTCTTTAGCTTTAAAGGTAGAAATAGCTGCCTTTCTAAAATTTAAGTGAAACAAAATATTGACCTGCAGTGAAAGGACTGCCAAGGTTCAGAGAGCCCATTAGTGGGCCTGAGAGGCCCTGTGACTCCAGGCTGACTGATGGCCCAAGGACCACTAAAGGCAAATTGAATTTCTAGATCACCGGCTGCCTTCATAGTTCTCTGACACCTCCATAACAGGAGAGTAGACACACCAGGTACCATACAAAGTACTTTCTCCATGTAAAATGGAGATTTTATTTTTGGAAATGAAAATCATTTTAATTATGTATATATCTTCTTTCTCTTGTTGAATGTGTTCTTATAAATGCAACCATTTATTCACATCCATTTTTTAAATGCCCACTTGGTAATGTCAGTTTGCTAGTACTAGATAAATGACATTTTATTCTCCATGTAGTGAGAAACGTAAATTAAAGAGGATGTTAGAATATGATAAGTAGAAATACATACAAAATGTGATAAGGATACTGCAACAGCAAGAATATGACTGAGCCCTGGCCGGTTTGACTTAGTGGTTGGAGCATCGGCCTGCGGACCAGAGAGTCCCAGGTTCGGTTCCTGCTAGGGGCACATACTAAAAAAAAAAAAAAAAAAAAAAAAAAAGTATGACTGAGGTAGCATTTCCTAAGTTTAGGTTCCCAAAGAACTCGAGCTTATTGAATTGTACCTCAAATTAAACAAAGTAATCTACAAGTAACTTTGAGAAATAACCTCTTGGGTGTTTGTGGCTCACATTAACATATCAAAGGACATGCAAGATATTGAGATACAAAATCCGTGGAACTTTGTACAACTATTTCCCCAAAATGTGTATCTACAGAACCCTCTTTTCTGCAATCCTTTATAAAAAGTTCAGGGCTCCTATAGGTTGAGGGACACATTTTGAGCAATGTCTATTGAAAGTGTACATTAAGTGGAAAAAAACCTTCTTAATTCAGAACATTGGCTTAGTTTTTTAAGGTGTTTTTTTTTTTTTTTGTCCTGAAAAATAGAATCAAATTACACCTTTAATATTGCATCAACTTCTTTCGTTCTGTTAAAGGGAAGAAGCATTCTATCTAGAAATTCTTCTTCTCAAAAGACCAGATTCTAATCCAAGAGGAGAATCTATGATATACTCAGTGTTATTTACAGGGAATATGAACTGTCAAGCTCCTGGTAGGGCTTGACCTTATTTGTTTATTTTATTATGGATGACATCTAACAGCAGAATATAGGTAGCCTTTAATCATTGCCTTGTCTTTTGAATTAAAGAAGAGGGCTAGAAATATGATGGTTTATTTCTGTATTCTCTTCCTAATATCTGCCCCCTTCGTCCAAATATTGTCATTAACTCCCGGGGGTTAATGAAGTCTGATATTCATTAATGTGTTGATTCAAGAAGTCTTGCCCTGGCCAGTTTGGCTCAGTGGTTGGAGTGTCAGCCTGCGGTCCAGAGAGACCCAGGTTCGGTTCCTGCTCAGGGCACCTGCCTCGGTTGCAGTTTTCCCCCGGCCCTGGTTGGGTCATGCAGGTGGCAGCCACTCGATGTGTCCCTTTCATGTTGATATTTCTCTCTCTCTCTTTCCCTCCCACTCTATCTGAACAAAAAATGGAAAAATGTCCTCGGGTGAGGATAAAAAAAAAAAAAGAAGTCTTTACTGCCTGCCTGCTCTGTTCCCAGCACTATTCTTGCGTCAGGTATATATGTACAGTGTAAATGAGACTGACAAGCTTGTAAACTTACAAACTAGTGGAGAAAATAACCAATGAACACATAAATAAACATCACAATCTTAAACAGTATTAAGTGCTATGGTTAAATTAAAACAGTAAATCAAGGATTCTTTTCCTCCTAGGTGAAAGGAACACTATAGACTGGTGGCCAGGGAGGGATTCTCTGTGGAGACTTTTGAGCCTAGAACCAAATGGTGAGGAGTCAGTTGATTTTTCTGGATGCAAAGGAAACTAGAGCAGTCTGGAGTACTCTGGGCCTATTTTAGTGATTTAGTTTTCAAGCGTAAAAGAGATTTTCCATTTTAAAAATGGCATTTCTCATCCAATAATTGGACTTTTATATTTAGGTGTGTGCTTTGGCTGGCAAAGTTAACTTTCATAGCTCAAATATTTTCCTTAAAATGTTGGGTTTATTTTAATTTCTCACAAAGGACAACTGTTTGATAAGTGGACAGCTAAAGCCCTTCCCTGTTTTAGTCTTGTCAATGCTTTTGAAGTCCTTCTTGAGAACAGTATTTCTAAATGCTATATATTTGGGCCTTGTTAAGAATCAGAGCAATTTGAATGAATAGTTGCTATTATATACTGGTTACCAACAGAGATTTGGAATTATACAACTTTTGGGAGTTCAGTTCAGATTCAAAACTCATCTTAGTGGTGTTCTAAGATTCAACCGGTTTGGCCCCATCATTCTAAGCTCCTCCATAGCCCCCATAGTGCCTTATGACTATTAACTGACCAATTTTTATCTAAATCAATTTCCTTTTAGATGAAATGCTAGTGCTAGTTTATATTTAGAAATAAGAAATTGAAAGTTGAACAGTCACTGAATTTATGAATTTAACAACAAACCATATGGATTATAGAATTCCTATAAAAATAAATTTATGGAATAAACAGAACAAATCACCTAGTTCAATTTCAAAATTCAACATTCCTTGCTTGCTTTTTTTTCTTAAAGACAAGTAGGAGGGTGATTTTATTCACCAACTGCTCAAAAACCCAGGCTGCAGAAAATAGGAATTTGCATTAGCAAACTCGTGCCCAATGAAACTCTTTCTTTACTGATTATGCTGGCACAATCTGGCTGGGAGGAAAAATCCTGATAAAATCAAGGGAAGATCCCCTTACGCCTCCTCCCATCCCATTGCACCACACCCTACCAGCCAGAAGCAGAAGTCTTCTGAAGTTTTCAGGAAAACAACCTGTCCTGGGTTTTTTGTGTGTGTACCAATAGGCTCGCTGAACACATCATTGATCTTGGACACAGGCAAAGTTCAAACCAAGTCTATGTTGTCAATTTGTTAGTGTCCTTTTTTGGGTGAAGACTCCTGACTGTATCCTCTCTGCTTAAAGACTGTACAGGCGACTCGTGTTCTCACGCAAGGTGGCTAAGGTATGGTCGAGTAGTTGATCTTTGATTATGGCAATCTCTTGAATTGTATTCAGGGCCAGGCCTGGGTGAGAATACTGGCAAAGGCTTTTGGGAACCCCACGAGGAAGGAAGTAGGGAGCATCAGTTTCCACGACAATTCTCTCCAGTGGGATCCTTTTCAGAGCATCCCGGGCCTGCCAGGCGGAAGTGTAAGTCAGGACTGCTGTGAAGCCCACAGACATGTTGGGAAAGTACTCCAAAAGGGGCTCAATTACTGGATAACTACTAGTGAAGCAATGTCTATGGATCTTATAGTCAGAGGGCACAAATTTTTTCATGATGGCCAGCAGATCTTTGTCAGCTTCTCGGCAGTGGATCACCAAGGGCTTCTTTAGAGACACAGCCAGCTGCAGCTGTCTCTCAAATATCTTGTGCTGCTGTGGGATAGGTGTCTTGCACTTGTAAGAGTAATCCAAGCCTATTTCTCCAAAAGCTACAGCTTTGGGGTGCCTTAAGCCTTGCAAAATATTTCTTTCTTGACTCTCATTGTAGTAACATGCAAAATGGGGGTGACAGCCAAAAGCTCCCCAAACCAAATCCTCATTCAACAGCTTCTCCCATAGGCCATCCCTCATTGTACGAGGATCACAGAAATTAGAGATGCAGCCCTGAAATTCCTTAGGGAAGGAACGGCTATATATTTTTCTGAACTTGGTAAAGGTCCCATTGAACGACAACTTGGAATAGAGCATGTCCAAGTGACAATGGGTGTCAATGAAGCCCTCCTTTAGGCTTTGCTCCCAGTAGCTGCTTGGCAGAGAACTAGATGCATATCCTCCCCAAGGATGTAATGGTGTCTCCTCTTGAAATGTTCTTTTCTCCCTCACCATGGCTTTTGAACTTCTGGGGAAATGTAATGAACGAGAATTCTGGGAATGACCTTCCTCTGCTGCCTTCAGGTCTCTGGACCAGTTTTGAGAGTGCACTGTAGAGTTGGAGGAATAATTACTTAAGCTCCAGCTGCCCTTCCCTGCCTGGGATGTATTGTTGCTGCTGCTGCCCATGGAAGGATATTGAGAAGGCTTGGGACTGCTGGTCTGGTAGCTGGCATAGTCATGTGAAGGACCACTGTACATAGGAGGCTGGTACATGACATGGTCAGTGGTGAAGGTTGAAGACTTTGAAATTCTTAAGAGACTCAGTGAGTTTGGCTCCTCTTGAGAGAATCTGACTGCAGAAATCTCATCCACATTAGAGCAGTCCCTTACTGAAAGGGGTTGCTTAATCACCACACCCCTTTCTTTATGCTTTTGGATTTCTGAATGAGAGTCACCTTTGTCTAGAAATTTTAGGGCTGGTGAGCCTTTTTCAAAAATGACTGCTCTCGTGTCACCAAGTGGCTTCTCACTGGGTTTCTCCTGAGGATATATAAATACTTTTCTGTCACAGGAGTTGCTGACATTTATCACAATCTTTTCCTTTTCTAATCTGACCTCTGGGGCTGACATTTTCTTTTTCTGAAGAACAGAGATGGTGACAGCACTAGCCAGTCTTTCTCCAGGATTGGGATGCTCTCTAGTGCTCAGTTTTGTACTAACTGCAGCCTCTCCCTTTCCTTTTGGTATTGATTTTACCAAGGTATTCTGGATAGCTAACCCATAGGTCATTGAAGAGCCTTGGCCTTGCCGTCTACCCTTTCTTCTCTGGGTCTTGTTTGGTTTCTCACTGTTATCATTTTGACTCTCAGCTTTGGCTGTAAATTCAGAGTTCATAGAATTATGGGAACTGTTTTTGGAATTAACTTGAAAACTTAAGGCGTCCTCTAGAGAAGCCATTTCTTTCAGAAAGGGGATAGTGTATAGGAGATGGCCCAGCGGGGATTCCACAGACAAAAGGAACCTGAGGTGCTACAAATCAGGCAGTCTTTGGCAGCCACTCCACCCACACCTGGGCCTGAGAAATGGGGGGAGGAGGAGGAGGAAGTTCCCTGGCGGGAAAAGCCCCTGGAAAACCTCCGCTTGAAGGTCACAACGTCCTCCCCTAGGGTTTCAGACACTCCAGGCTGCTGGCCTCTCCCGAATGTGAAGCAGAGCTATGAGGTAGTCATTTGGAGAAGACCACATTAGTGGGCTCCCAGAGTCATTTGCGTTTGCTTGCGGACCCTACCTCTGTGCCGCTCCTGTGGTACTTGACTTTGCAATGTTCCGAAGGCTCACGAACAGGTCCCCTTTCTTTCACCTGCCCATAACAGTTCTCAGTGTTCCAGAGACGTCAAAGGCCTTGCACTGAGTTTATGACTCGAGGATGCAAGATTTACAGAAGGCTCGGTTTCGTGTCCAAGCCTACGGTGTGCTTCCGAGATGAGTAAGCACTTTCTCTTTTGTACAAAGCTCCTTCCGGTAATGTCAAAGCACTTCCGGGACATTAAGGCACTTGCACTTTCGGATGGGGATGGGGGTTGGGGTGGGGTTATAAAGCTCTTATATGTAGTTTAGAATAGAAGGCTCTTTTGAGATGTCAAAGCTCTTGAAAAGACTACAAGGTGCCTTAGAGACCACACACAGGGCACTCTTGAACTGGGCTTCCGGCTTGGAGGTTCAGGCCACCAATGTTGTGTAGGAGGGCAGGGCCAAATCCAGTTTAGGAACAGAGGGTTGAGGGCGCGGGGCACAGCTGGGGGGAGGGGGCCGCCCACCAGTCCGCTCCCCCGGAAACATTCCCCTCAACCAAGGGGGAGTGGTGGTGGTGGGGCAGTGGCTATGCGGGAGAGTAAGCAGTGTGAGGGGGGAGGGGAAAGAACATGGCGGAGATCGATGCCGCAGGGAACTCTTTCAACTTCACCTCAGGTCAGTCTACCCCTGAGGCTGCCGCCATTGCTTGTGTTTTGTTCCTTTCCCCACTGGGTTTTTTTTTTTTTCCCCCAAGAACATAGTTACACATTTTAAAACATAGTTTTACTATACATGCTTTCAAAACTGTAGTTTTTGTAGTATGCTACCATTTTCAGTCCTGTTTTTTTCCCACTCAACATTTCTACATATCCTATTTCTCTTATTGCTGCATAGTTTTCAAAAAACAATATTCTAGTGCTTTCATCATAGTCCAGTAGTACATAGATGTGCCATTATTCACCAAACATTTCCCTTTTTGTTAACTCTCAAGTGCCCTCACTCTAGTTTTTTCTCTAATAAAAGTAATAGAGATTTTAAAATGTCTCCTCATAGCACCACATTGTCCCAGAAGAATTATAATAATGTAACATCCCATCCATGATGAATAATCCTTCCATGTCTGTTTAATAGGAGAAACAAAAAAAAACAGTGACTCGGTTATTTTAATTTGCACTTACCTAATAATTTCTTAGGGTGAATACTTTATTTATTGGCACACTCCTGAATTTTAAATTTATTTTCATTTCTTTTTTAGGGTGTTTTGAAACATAATTAAAACATTATAAAAAATTAAACTTGTCATATTTTCTAAAATTTATTAGTATTTTTAATGAACAAAAAATCAACTGAGTAAATGTAAAGATTTAATTTGCTTTATTGCACAAGTCATGAATTGGACAGAGTCCCACATGCTAAATAGAGCAGTGCTCCGAGAAGTACAAAATAGAAGGTTTTTAACGGCAAAAACTGAGCAGGACAAGAAAGTTATCAAAAGGAAAGAAAGGATTGTTTCAGGCAACATGACCTTTTAGAGAGGGGTGGCAGGAGTCTAATTAGGTATATTACCTCACTTGTATTAGTCAGAAAATTCCAGACTGGTTTGAGGTCACTCCTGAGAGGAGTTGAAACTGCAGTTAAGTCTTGGTTTACTGTCTTAGGGGCAAGAGACTCTACCTTGGGCCTGTTTTTGTTGTTCTTGTTCTTCTTTTTCTTAACAGTATGTTGTTTGTTTTTTATTTATATGTTGGTTTATTGATGTTATAACTTGTTTTGTAGTCAAATCTTTTTTTTTTTTTTCTTTCACAATTTTCTTTTTCTCCCAAGACTAGAATAGTAATCTCTTTCAAGGTTTTGACATATTTGTAGTTGTTTTTTGGAGGGTAAAAGGGGCTGTTTTTTTTATATTTACTTTAATAAACCATTTGGTATTTATTTGGGTTATAATTTATTTTAGGTGAGGATATACATTGATGCTTTTCCAAGTTAGTGCTTTTTTCACTTATTGATATGTGACTTCTCTTTCATCAGGTATTAAATTCCTATATGTAATAGAATCTATTTCCAGACCTTCTATTCCACATACTAGTATTTCTTTTGTTACTCTGGTGTAGCACTATTTTATTAATTGAACCATTATAGTAAGTTATAAAATCTGGGAGAGTTGTCTTCTGTGTTATCCTTAATTTTCATAATTATCTTTAATAGGCTGACATGTTTATTTTATCACATGGACTTAGAATTGTTATTTTTTTTATTCCCTTCAACATAGCAATGAAATATCCATTTAAAATATGGTATTTTAGTCTCCTTATTCGAGATATACTTCACTTATTCTATCAGTCAAGCAAGTTCTCTGTCTTCTAGTACATATTTTTAGAGTTTTATCAGGGCCACAGAGTTTTCATTAAAACTAATTTTAAGTGTTTTATAATTTTTCATTCTATTGTGAATATACTTTTTCTTCCCACTGTATTTTTACCTTGTTATTGATAGTACATAAGAATATTTTTTATTCAGTTGTGGTTATGCTGAAATCTTTTATTTTTCTCTTAGTTTTTTGACCTTTGCCTATGCCATTATTTTATTTGCTTATAATGATACTTTTGTGTCTTTACTCCTAATATTTTTCCTTCATACCTTCTTACGTTGTGTATAACTACTAAAAACAATATTAAATAATGATGTTGGTTGAGGCATTTATTATTCTGTTTCTGATTTTAGTGAACACATAGTTTGATTAATTATAATGCTGGATATTTTGCCTATTGTTTTTAAGCAGATACTTTTTAATTTTGTAAAGGAATTACTCTTATGTTTTAAAATATATGTGGTAGGAAATGGTATGAGATTATATATTTACTCTTATTTTATTAATTTGTAAACATCTTTACATCTGTGAGGAAAATGCTGCTTTTTGTGTGTGTAGGTGGCTTAGAGCTGTTATGGACTGTTGAATTCTGTTTGCTTGTATTTTAGTTAGAATCTTTGCTTTATAAATTATAAGCAGTGGAAATGCTCTGGAGCAGTAGTTCTGAACCTTTGCTTGCACATTGTAATCAGATGGGAAACTTTAAAAATCAATGATGCCTGGGCCCACTCTGAGAAATTCTGATTTCATTCTGTTTGTCTGTGTGTGTGTGTGTGTGTGTATCTGTCCCAAGCATCAGTTTAAAAAGCTCTACAGGTGATTCTAGTGTGTAGCCAGAGTGAGAACTATTGCTTCACAGTTTACTTTTTTTTTAATGGCACTATCAGGCATGACAATACACCTTCATGGCTTTTTATCGTTTTTGGTATCCTGGGGGAGCGATATAATGTGGAAATTTTGTTTTTCTTGAAAGTTTGAAAGAATCCATTAGTGAATCATCTTGGGTGGAGCCTTTGTTGGGACAATTTTTTTTGGTAATCTTTTTACTTCTTATTTAGTTATTAGTTCATTCATGTGTTTTGATAGTTCACAATTCTTATAGAAATATCATCTCTTTAATTGTGGCTTTAATTTTTTTTCATAAAAGCTTGTATAATTTATCATAATAAGATAATTATATCTTATTATGTATTACATTTCTATCATGTAGTTTTATTTTTATTTATTTATTTATATTTCTTCTTGATCATCTTTGCTAGAATCTTACCTATTTTATGTATTTAAAAACTTGGATTTATTTATTGCAATTGTTTTTCTCCTTTCAAATTTATCTATTTGTACTTTTATCCTTTTTTCTTTCTACTTGTTTTCCTTATGACAAATTTTTGTACTTTCACAAATTTTTGTTCAATTCATTGCTGACTAGTTCAAAACTCTGACTGCATTTCAGAATTACTTGGAGGAGCTTTAAAAATTCTAATGCCACTCTAAACCACCCCAAGATTCTGATATAATTTATTTAGGCTTGACTCTGTTTTTTAAATTTTTTAAGTTCCTAATTCTAAGTCAAAACTGAGAATTGCTGAATTAGCACATTTAACTAAGTTTGTTCTCTTTAGGTTCTCTTATGTTATAATCTAAATCCAATAATTTTTGTTACAGATGTTTCTCCTTTTTTCCCCACTGATTCTCCCCTCCCCCTCCCTCCCCGCTCTGTCCCCAGCTTTGTTGTCCATGTCCATTGTTCATGCACACATGCATATAAGTTCTGTGGTTTATCTCTCCCCCACCACCCAAATAAATTAATTAAATTTAAAAAAATTTGTCAACTGTATCTATCTGAGGAAAAAAATGATAATAAATCCAATAATTTACCCAAGATTTACAGATTTGCCTGTATCTTATAGGTTAGTACATCTTCAAATTTTATTATTTAATACTTTTTGTATTTTTCAGTATATTCTCAGCGCAATAATTATGTAAACCAAAATGTAATTTTAGACTGTAATAAATAAAAGAAAGCATTTATTTTAAGAAAAAGAACTGTAGCCTGGGAGACACAGATTTAAGTAGCAAACTAGTTTGTGTTCTAATGAGACAAAGGGAGGTTCCCTTTTATAAAGAAAGTTGCTGTTTTTTATGGAGAAAGTTTCCCCCAGGTTCCCAATCTGGTCTGTTTTATGCAGGTTGGGACAAGTCTCATAGGTCGAAAGATAAAACCAGGAACTTCCTTGCAGTGGTTGACTCAGATGTCAGAAGGCGTAGGGGAATAGTACAGGAGGCTGAAATCTCATTCTGTGTCTTTTTCTGAAATGCAGAGTGCATCAGAGGTCTCTGTTAGCAGTGGCTACTGCCTGTATACATGGGAGAGACCCAGGAAAACTGAGTAACTCCAAGAAATAGTGCAAACCAACACCTTAAATATCATCTGTAGTTAAAGACATAAGATGTGGTGTGAAGAGGAAGGCCAGTTATAGGAGGTTATCAGGAAACACACAGTAAACAAGGGTATGGTTGTTATACAGATTTAAGTCTTTGTCTCTGCATTGGTAAGAGTTTCTAAAGATTTAGTGTCATCCTTTCTTCCTGGTACAAGTGGAGATTTCCCTTATAAATGTAAATGTCTCTTACAAAAGGATAACTTTTACTCCAGTGTCTGCAATTTCATAAAAATAACTAACCTAAAATAATCCTTATGCCAAATAGGCATATTTTAAGGTAACAGATTCTGTTCCCCTTCACTTTCATGGTGGAGTTCTGCAGCCCTGTATTCTCAAGGGATCAGAACATGAACTATCAGTATATCCCACTTATAGAAATTTGAAGTCCAGCCTAAAATATATTTTTTCTCTCTATTTTCATTTAGCATCCTTTATTTTCTCTTAATGCATCATTAGGTTGATACATATTTAATGATTATATACATGGCTGTATTGTAAACTGATCTATACAAGTTTGGTCATTCACAAATATATATCAGTAGCATTCAATACATAGAGGTAGGTGAGAGCTATGAATATTTTCTTTATACTTTCGTACCCAATTACAAAGAAAAAAAATGTTTTAGATTGAATATTACTGTAAGGGTGGAAAACTTTTTCCTTCTAGGTTCTTTGGCTGGTCTAGTAATTAAATTGACTTAAGACCGATTAGCAAGAGGAAAACAAAGTTTGTATATATAGGAATCCCATAAAAATATGAGATTTCCTGGCAGTCAGGTAATTGAGGCTTATATCCATCTTTAAAAATTTTTTTTTCTTTATTGATTTTAGAGAGAGAGGAAGGGAGGGGAGAGAGAGAGAAACACCGATGAGAGAGAACATCGATTGGCCACCTCCTGCATGTCCCCCAACTTGGGATTTAGCCCACAATCTTGGCATGTGCCCTGACTGGGAATCAAACTGGTGACCTCTTGTTGCATGGGTTGATGCTCAACCACTGAGCCACACCAGCTAGGCAAGGATTACATCCATCTTGAGCTAAGGTTAAGTAGGCAGGGCTCTGGGGCTTGCAAGGGGAGTAGGGACAGTTTACAGGAAGTTGGGAAGAGCAAATGTTAGGTAAACAAATGTTTGCCATGCCATGCATATAAGTCCTTCTGATATAAAAAAAGTTTTCTCTGATAATAATTCTTCCTGGTACAGGGCCCCTGTCCAAATTCTTTTAGGTAGTTAAGTGGGAGGTAAAAAGTTCTTTCTGAGTCTGTTGGGCCCCTATTGTCTTCAGCTTGAAATATCCCACCTGCCAAAGTGGCACGTTCTGGGGTGGGGGGGGCATATTCTGTTCTCCCTTACTACCTTTACTGAACACTCGATAAAACCCCAGTTCTGTTGTCCTTTTAGGTGTTCCAGCAACATCTTTTTACCTCCTACTTTTTCTTACTGAGATACAATTCATATAACATAAAATTCACTATTGTAACATGTTTAACCCAGTTTGGTGTCAAATATCTCATTTTTTAATTGAGATAAAATTTATATAACATAAATAAACCATTAGTCATTTTAAAGTGTGCAGTTTAGTGGTATCTAGTATATCCACAGTGTTGTACAACTATCACCTCTTTCTAGTTCCAAGACATTTTCATCACCCCAGAAGGAATCCCCGTATTTATTCAATAGCATCTTACCGGAATTGTTTGCTCAACATAAGTATGACAATATTCTAATTGTGAGTTTAGCTAACTTCTAAATGGAATCAGACCAGAAGAATTCCCCAAGGAAGCAGCTGAAATGGGATGATTTGGGAATGAAGCCAGAGGTGTCATTTTGAAAGGTGTAGATCTCTGGGCTTACTAGATTTGTAGAACCTGATCCAGTAAAGACAGTGCCTGGTCGATATTTGTAACTGATTGTTTCATTTTGAATACAATTATTTCACTAACTAAAACTCACTTCTCTAATCCTTTATGATAATTAACAAAGCGTCCTGTGTTGATCAGAGATAAACTACTGACACATTTGGTCAGCCCCTTCTGAAGTGTGAGCTTCTGGTAGAAATTTGCTAAACACTTCTAGAACATATTTCTATGTAGGATAACTGACCACCCCAAACAGAGTCACTCATATCTATCATATTGTCATGTTGAATTACCATGATGTTACATCATATGCACAATTAACAATTCACAACTTTCATTATAAAAATTGATAAAAACGGGAGCAAAAGGAATATTAAAATGGAGCTTTCAAGGAGCCTGTGCCCCAGGTCAAGCCTGAAATGGTAGCCTAAATCTACAATTCCCTTAGTTAAGGGAATTAACATGTCTTTCCTCAATTAACATGTCTTTCTCAGTACATGAGCATCTCACCATGTTGATAGTTACTCCAGTGGTTAAAGATACATTTTTCCCCCATACAGCATGGCACTAAGGAAACTATTTCAACTGATCTTAAACAAAAAGGCAGTCAGTCCTTTGCTTCAACATGGGAGAAAATTGGACTGTATTGTATTACTGAATGAGGCACAGTTTTCCAAAGTGGTTAAAGAATTTTCAAGGGTATTTTTTACTATCTCTGATTTTTACTAACTACTTTAGAATTTACCTCTCCTACCTGAGTGCCCTACCCACCCAAACACACACACAATGTGAGATGAGACTGGATCTGGCATTGAGCTGGGTGGGCTCTTTGAGGTTCCTGAAGAAGTGTAAGGTGCAGTCTCTGGTACACTGGAAGAATTTCAGATCTTCCTGTTTGAATTGCTGTCAAGGCAAGCAATCAGCAAGTCCAGAAGTCAGGATAATTTTATCTTAGAATCAAGGTAGTTTTGTGTTATTCTTAATGTGAAAAATGTCAAAACTTATATTTATCTTGTGATAAAGAATATTGTTTTGTCTATAACACATGCATATAGAAACCCACTGTGAAATTCCAAAGCAGATGCTAATTCAATTTATGGTAGAGCTGAATGATGGATTTATTGCTTGAATATTATTTCTTCAGTCTAACCAGATGGTGATGAAAATATAAAATAATCTTTATATACTTAAACCTGGATTGTATATTCATTCTCATAGCTGATGTGTAGAATGTCTTCTTGCAAAATCGTCTCAACTTTTTACTTTACAGTAACAAGATTATACATACAAGTAAGTAGCTTTATTGATTTTAAGTTTGCTGAATATTTTTTTCATTTCTTAGTTTCTAATTATGACTCCAACAGGTATTATCTTTTGATGCCTATGAAGAAGATGAAGTACATGATAAAAGGCAAGAAAAATATAGAATAAGACGCTATAAAATCTTCTTCTACCCTGAAGATGACACAATTCAAGTAAATGAACCAGAGGTGAAAAATAGCGGACTGCCTCAAGGTATCTATTTAAAGCAGAGTCACAGTTCTTTCATTTCTAAGTTCTGTCTTTATATACTGTCTTTCCCTAACTTTTTAAAAAGATACCATGGTACTGCTTAGGTGTCTAACTTGTTGGCAATAGTGAATATACACATGCCGTTAGCATATAGTTATTGATAGTGACTTACCGGATTTCTACCACCTACCTGAACATTGGCCATTTCTCTCACCCTTCAGTGACATGCGTGTATCCTTTCAGGTGCTGCTCTAGTGTGAGCAAACTCTCCCATGTATTGACCTGTTTTTTTTTTTGCTATGATCCCATTACTTCCTTCACAACACTCTCAAGGGAAGGGAGAAGACTGTTCTCTACTGCCACTTCCAGATTGGTATTCACTCTTTTCTTGAATTTACTGCCCACTTGCTTCAACCACCTACTCCTCAATCTCATACCTGTTAACTACAGACTTTGATGGTACTTCAACATAAGGTATTGTTCCTTCACCCTATGGATGTATGCTAGTCATCTTTATCCATACTCCACTTCAACAAGACAAGAGTTAACTCTGTGATGTGGTCACCAGAGAAGTTAATCTTTATTGGCATTATTAGAAGCATTGCAGAGATAAAGGGAGGTGACTGGTTTCTTCTGTTTGTGCTATAGTCCATCACATGGGATGATACTGAATTCTTTATGCCTTCAGGGGATAGCAAAGAATTGAAAATTGTCATGTGTAAGGGAAAATATTGAAATGGGAAATCTGTAAAGGGAAGACTCAGGTGTGCCTGATAAATGTCTTCAGAAATCTAAAGGGATATCATGTGGAAGAGGGGTGACCAAATTTTTTGTATCCTCAAGGACAAGTCCAAATAGATCAGAATTCAGGTCAGTTTTGAAGGGTGTATATCTCTGGGCTTACTAGATTTGTAAAACCTGATCCAATAAAGACAGTGCCTGGTCAGTATTTGTAACTGATTGTTTCATTTTGAATACAATTATTTCAATAACTAAAACTCACTTCTCTAATCCTTTGTGGTAATTAACAAAGCGTCCTGTGTTGATCAGAGATAAACTACTGACACATTTGGTCAGCCCCTTCTGAAGTGTGAGGAATAATGTTCTGGAAGAAAGCTTCCAGAAGTTGTAGTGGATGACTCTGGATGAGCATGGTCAGGGTTGGGTAGAGGAGAAGGGAGTCACATATTTGTTTGGTTACTGGTACAGATGGATGGCCCTGGGGACAGGTCAGGGGTTATTTTTTACTGACAGTTTAGTAGAGGTGTAAGAAGGGAGTCATATGTTTGGTGTTTGGTGTAGATTACCTTCCAAGGCCCCTTTGATCTCTGACAAGCCATGATTCTTGTGTAGATTATTGTCTCTTTCAGAGTATTGCCATCTTCAATATCTTAGGCTCTGAAATTGCCTTCTCTGACTATAGTCTCTACTTCATTTACTTTCCCTATTGTTTACTCCCACCATCTTTGTTCTTCATCCTCCTAGCAAAACATATGTTGAATGTGTTTATGTTTCTATATCCCCTGTGCTACTATCCTAACCCTGGCTACCCTTACTTCTTGGCTAGAGTAATGGGATAGCTGCCTAATAGATCTCTCTGATTCCATTTCTGCTCCTCCTACAGTCTGTTGTCTATGCAGCAGCCAGAGTGTAGTGTGGGATATTACCTTGATGCAGTGGTGGCCTACAAGAAGCATGCATGCAGGTTTTTTCAGAGACAACAGAACAGAAGTCTCATGGGCCAAATTAAAATGCATCAATCACATGATGCAATAAAATAATTTCAAATACATACCCAGAAGCAAGGGAAAAGAGATGAGGTAGGTTCACACACCTAGGACAGGGTAAAAGTGGGTGGAATGACTATGCTGCTTGAACATGGGTTAAGCAATAGTCTTGTCTGTGTTTTTCTGCCTCATCAGTCCTTCCTGCTAACAGTGTGGTTTGGAGACCAGAGTAGAAGTTCAATAAAGACGACACACAGAAAGGGCCTGGGGTAAGGGCATGCCCTCTATCAGAGAGATGCGGGGTCACGGGGCCTGGCCACAGCAGCAGCTCACCAAAAAGCCTGCTAAAGAGTAGAGGCTTTGTTTGTGTTTCTTGGGCAAAGGACACATGAGGCCAGAATGGATGTCACCAATAGATGAGTGGACGAATTACGACCTTATGAATATTGAGTACTCATGAATATTTACTACATCTTATAGATTAGTGTATCATGAGTATTTATTTATATATTTATTGTATGTGCGAATTACTTTATGTGTAATATCTATTACATATATTATTATTTTTAAATTAATTTCATTATTTTTCTTACAGATGTTTCTCCTTTTTCCCTCCACTGATTTTTCCCCCCGCTCCGTCCCCGCCCTGCCCCCAGCTTTGTTGTCCATGTCCATTGTTCATGCATACATGCATATATGTTCTGTGGTTTATCTCCCGCCCACCTCCCCTCTTCTGGGGATTGTCAGTTTGTACCCCACTTCCATGTCTCTGGGACTATCCCATTCCTCAGACTGTTATGTTCATAATATTCTACAAATAAGTGAGATCATATGATACTTGTCTTTCTCTGTTTGGCTTATTTGGCTTAGGATAAAACTTTCCAGGCCCTTCCATGTCATCATGAGGATAAGAGGTCTCTCTTTTTTATAGCTGCGTAGTACTTCATTGTGTATATGTACCACAGCTTTTTTATCCATTTGGCTACTGAGGGACATTTGGGCTATTTCCAGATCTTAACTATTATAAATAGTGCTACTATGAACATGGGGGTACATATATTCTTTCTGATTGGTGTTTCAGGTTTCTTAGGGTATATTCCTAAAAGTGGGATCATTGGGTCAAATGGAAGTTCAATTTTTAATTTTTTGAGGAAACACCATATTGTTTTCCAAAGTGGCTGCACCACTCTGCATTCCCACCAGCAGTGTATTAGAGTCCCCTTTTCTTGACCCTGGCCAACACTTGTTGTTTAAGGATATGTTGATGGCAGCCATTCTGACTGCCATTAGATACCTCATTGTTGTGAGGTGATACCTCATTGTTGTTTTAATTTTCATCTCTCTGATGATTAGTGATGTTGAGCATTTCCTCATATGTCTCTTAGCCATTTGTATGTCCTGTTTGGAGAGGTGTCTATTTAGTTCCTCTGCCCATTTTTTAATTGGGTTCTTTGTCTTCCTTTTATTGAGCTGTATGAACAATCTATATATTTTGGAAATTAACCCCTTATCTGATGTATCATTGGCAATTATGCTCTCCTATAGAGTGGGTTGCCTTTCTGTTTTGGTGGTTGTTTCTTTTGTTGTGCACAAGCTTTTGAGTTTGATGTAATCCCATGTATTCATTTTCTCCTTTGTTTCTGTTGCCTTAGGTGATGTATCAGTGAAAATTCTGCTGCGTATGATGTCTAAAATTTCTTGCCTACAGTTTTTTCTAGTTTCTTTATGGATTCATTGGTCACAATTATTTCATTTTTTTATGTTGAGTTTATTCTTGTATGTGGTGTAAGTTGATGGTCTAGTTTCATTTTTTTGCATGTAGCTGTCCGATTTTCCCAACACCATTTATTACAGTGCCTGTCTTTTCTCCACTGTATGCACTTGCCACCATTGTCAAATATTAATTGAGCATATTGTCTTGGGTCCATTTCTGGGTTCTGTATTCTGTTCCATTGATCTATCTGCTTGTTCTTGTGCCAGTACTAAGCTGTTTTCATTACAGGGGCTTTGTAGTATAACCTGAAATCTGGTAATGTGATTCCTCCAACTTTGTTCTTCTTTTTCAAGATTGTTGTGGCTATTTGGGGTCTTTTATGGTTTCATATGAACTTCTGAATTATTTGTTCTAGTACTTTGAAGTATGTCGTTGGTATTTTGATGGGTAATGCATTGAATCTATAGATTGCTTTGGGTACTATGGACATTTTAATGATGTTCATTCTTCCAGTCCATGAACAAGGTATGTGCTTCCACTTTTTTATATCTTCCTCTATTTCTTCTTTGAATGACCTGTAGTTTTCTGGAAATAGGTCCTTTCTTTCTTTGGTTAAGTTTATTACCAGGTATCTTAATTTTTTTTTGCTGTGATGGTAAATGGGATTGTTTTTTAGTTTCCCTTTCTGTGAGTTCATCATTGGTGTATATGAATGCCATCGATTTTTTGACGTTAATTTTGTATCCTGCTACTTTGCCAAATTCATTTATCAAGTCTAGTAAATTTTTTATGGAATCTTTGGGGTTTTCTACATATAATATCATGTCATCTTGGAATAATGACAGTTTCACTTTCTCCTTTCCAATTTGGATCCCTTTTATTTCTTCTTCCTGTCTGATTGCTGTGGCTAAGACTTCCAGTACTATGTTAACAAAGAGTGGCGAAATTGGGCATCCTTGTCTTGTTCTTGTTCTTAAGGGAAATGCATTTAATTTTTGCCCATTGAGTATGATGTTGGCTGTAGGTTTTTTATATATGGCCTTTATTATGTCAAAATATGATCCTTGTATTCTCAGATTTGTGAGCATGTGTATCAGAAATAGTTGCTGGATTTTGTCAAATACTTTTTCAGCATTTATTGATATGATCATATGAAATTTATCTTTCATTTTGTTTACGTGGTATATCACATGTATTGATTTGAGAAAAGTATACCAGCCTTGCATCCCCGGGATGAATCCCAGTTGGTCATGGTGAATAATTTTTTTGATGTATTGCTGGATTCGATTTGCTAGTATTTTGTTCAGGATTTTGGCATCTGTGTTCATCAGGGATATTGATCTGTAGTTTTCTTTCTTTGTAGTGTCTCTTTCTGGTTTTGGAATTAGAATTAGGCTAGCCTCATAAAATGAGTTTGGAAGTCTTCCTTCTTCTTGCATTTTTTGAAATAGTTTGAAGAGAATGGGTATTAATTCTTCTTCGAATGTTCAATAAAATTCCCCTGTGAAGCCGTCCAGGCCTGGGCTTTTGTTTGCTTGGAGAGTCTTGATTACATCTTCAAT